CACGGGCTAAACTAGCTTTACCCCATGACTAAGATTTGGTATACCCGTGCCACACGGGCAACTCGAATGCCATTTACAACGAATGACGTTTGTTGGATCGGCGAATCAGCTCGCAATCTGTCGCGCGTGGAACGCGCTACGCCCGGAGTGTCACGCGCTGATTGGCCGTCCGCTTAAATGGCATACGTTGTAAATGGCATTCGACTTGCCCGTGTGGTACGGGTATTAGTCGACTTCTTAGTCGCGCGGACCGACTAGGCCCTAAACACGACCGGTGAATACTTAGCGGCAACTATCGCTCGCCACGTGATAATTTTAGTCGATGACGTCGATAGTCAGTGGTTAAACAGGCGCTACCCACCCCTGGTAAATACGGGTGCAAATCTGTGAAAAAGAAATCTCTGATTTGACGAAATGTTAGTCATAACGTCCCGACACGCAACGATTGCGAACATTGACCGTTGATGGGCGTCATGTTCGGCAAGCGGCCAACTCTCCTGCCTTCGACAGCACTACAGCACGCTTCGCTTCCCTCGGAACATTATTTGAGTTTGCTTCCTTTAGAGAGCAATCCTGCATTTTAATAAACCATTGGCCTAGACACTGCGAAAAAAAAGATTGTATTCCTTTGTCTTAATTGCATGGAATTCGCAATACATTCTTAGTGGATGTGAGAGGCTGAGATGGACAATTTCAAAATTATAAATTAATCGCTCTAAATGTTGCACAAAAGTACATTCAGTCACGACTGCGCCAACTTAGGAAAGCTATCGTTGATTCCATGAGTCAGTAACACAGTCTGTCATAGACTTAAAAAAAAAAAACCAAAATTACGCTTTTTTTTTAAATTGAAGTGTAAGAAAATTACTAGAGTTCTTTTATAACCAAAACATAAAATTTTGAAAAATAACTTCGCAGTCACAAATAAGGGTGTTTGCGCCGGCGAGCTGGTGAGCTGGTGCGACGGTGCTGTGGTATGTTCTATTTTTCGTTTGTGTACTCCCCTCACGGGGGATTTTCAGTACGTTCGCAACCACGTTCTTTGCCAAATTTAGAAATAAAAACTCTAAAATATATTAAAAGGCCCCTCTCAATATGATTGTGGCATGTCGAAAATAACTTATTCTGGAAACGAGTGCTTTAGTTACATGAATAACATTTTCGGACAGCATCCGCCAAGAAGTCTGCAAACTGATTATGCTACCTGTTGAAATTTGACTCTAAAAAAGAAATTCATCCGCAGGTAGTATTTCTCCTTTAAACGTTGGCCCAAATTCGAAGAAAATCTAAACCATTGTAACATTACCGAGTAGTGGTCATAATATAAACAACGCGACTGGCAAAGACGAAGAAAGACTGTATCGTCCAGTCTTTCTTCGTCCTTGCCAGTCGCGTTGTTTATTTTATGAATACGCGCCAACCAGACAGATTTCCGTTTTGTTGAGTCGTGGTCACTGTGAAAAGAGCAAAGTTACGATAGTTTAAAGGGGTGATGTTGTGATTTTCCTACTTTCAATAAATACGGATTTGAATTTTTCCTTGACAGTTATGACACAAACCTTGCTCTTTTTCCCTACGCAATGGCAGTCGCAGAAATACATGGCAAAAAACGAACACCGTTTACCCCCTAAACTCGCTGCCAGAAAAAGCGGCCAGGTGATCTGGACCCGATTCCATGCCAGAAATCTTTTTTTTTAACCTGGCCACGCGCTGGAGTGGGCTGAGCACAGTGCCCGCGCTCAGTTGTACGCATTGTTAAGGTTCGGCTGTTCCCGTCATCTGGAGCATTTGGCACGAGCCAGGACCCGAATGCACGTCGAGGCATTGATTGTCACGAGCCGAAATCGAATGGCTACGCAGACTTCGTGTCCGCTGTTTGAGCAGCATTCGAGGATCGTCACAGCGGGGATCGCGAAGCTTCATGACGCACTCCTGAAGATCGCATTCTTGGTGTTGTCCCCGCATCTCCGGGATCACATTTTGCGAAGGAGAGACTGAAAGAAAAAAGATCACTCTTATCCTTGGAGTTCCAGCACGACGAAGACGCTTCTTGAGAAGTGGCGTTGCGTTCGAGTATTCTTGGGTCCCACAAGTGCCAGGAAGCTGGTGTAAAGTGACAAACGTTCCTACACAATATCGTAGCACAGCCCTTTAAGGTCACACGGAAATGAGCAGTGCAGTTGGGATTGGTGAGGACGAGCGATGTTATATCTACTGCTCACAGTTGTAAAGCCAGTTGAGCCATTTCCGCTAAGTTATGCCAGTTCCAAAGCGTGATATCCATTTCTTTCTATCCATTCTTACGAAGCACTTGGAACTTGATCGGTGTATCGGCGGCTATTCAGTTCAATACTATTCACTGTAGAGTACAGACTGGTCTAGCGTTATCCGAAAGCGATTTCATGTGATCGTTGATTTCCAGTCCATAGCCGACCTCATCTCGGTAATATACTTCCAAATAATATATATATATATATATATATATATATATATTCTAATCTAGTTTCTTATAAAGCTTGGAAGTTATCCACCGCGGATATGTGTCTAGAGATATAAAACATACGATACGCGGATATGAGTGATCAGTCTATTGAAGCACGGGAGTGTTTATAATCTCGTCCTTTCTATTTTTATATTTGTGACCTGGTAATTAAGCTCTCCAACAAGAGCATACCAAAAACCTACAGGAGGACACTTAAGACTGCTTACGTGTAAGAATGCCAAAGCATTCCTACATTCCTTCCAGCAGCGCCCCACGTCTTGCTATCGCACACGGCGCTCGGGCGGGGACATGAGGCACTGGGCAGGCGCGGGAAACGCCGCCGGCTCTACGCCTTCGGTAACGATGCGCGTTGCTGTGTTTTTCTTTGCGCTCTATTACTGAGGCGCGTCCCCTTTGTCCTGGAGCGGTGACGCCGGCTTCCGTTACCAAGCATCTTGCTGCGATGGGAATTCAACTACCGTTTCGCTGCTGTAGACGTTTGCAGACGACGACGGCTTCGCTCCATGGGACAGTTAGTGTTGTAAGTTTCCATCGTCCTATCACAAGAAAGCAGTTTGGAGCATAGGTTCCCGCAAATGCCGTTTTTTTAATGGTTTATGCTGAAATTATGTCCTATGGTGTGTAGGACTGATAATCTGTGACATATCAGTATCAGATTTAACACTGTTCACGTTTCAATGCCGTTATATTCATTCTAAGTGTGGCACCGCTCAAGGAGGTGCAGTACAAATTATTCAATAGCAAAACAACAGATTTATTATTCACACGTCAAATAACTGAGAAAATGTCAGTATTTTCTTAAAAAAGACTATTAATTAATTAGTCTATCCTCGCCACTTAAACATTACGAATTGTTGAGTAAAAACGTAGGCACGTACTCAAGAAAATGTGTTCAAACGAGATATTCGGCAAAGAAAAAAAAATAATATAATAATAATAACGCCTAATTTTCCATTGCCCACAAACAACCCAGTAGTCTACTGTGTGGTGCACAAACATCGGTGAAGTGTTGTACATATAACTGTTGCAAGTATTGCGTGTGTTGTTTAGAGAAGCGCCAGAACTTTTTAGAACTTTTAGTTAGACTATGTTCAGTGTCATTTAAGTACAACCGGTTTTCTTGTTCGTAAAGTGTTGAGACCAGACTACGATGTATACTGAACTCTCGATACCATATCTGCAATTCTGACTTTCTTAAACATGCGATGATAGTGTAGTTTCTTTCGGAATGCGATTTTAAAATCTTTTTGAAAACCAACTGGGATAATGAAAGGAGCATGCCAGTGGTTTCAGAATAAAGGCCTCGAGTGCGTTTTGCACAACTGAGGTCATTTTAAAAGTAGCCGAGTCTACTTCACTCTCTCTAAAGATATCCGACCAGTCATATTGCTCTAGCTATTGATACAGACCAAGATAATTGCCACGGGAGTACGAGTTTCCAACCGAATTAGTGTTTACTCGTTGCCTGCACGATTTTCACAAGTTTGTAGGAGGAGCAGGGCGATAAGTATGAACAGGCGCTAAAGGGTTCAAAGCGGGAGTTGCAATTTCGAGCGGGGTGCTCGATAAACACAGGTCAAGTAGATTTCCGCAAGAATTCAAAAGTGCATTACACTGACAAAAATGTAGAAAGCTTAAAAGTGAAAGCGGCCAGCAAGTCTTTTTGGTCCGCAAAAGCCTCCCGCAGTCTTTGCCCAGGCGAACCATGAAACATGCCAGAATTATGTGGTACAAAAATCTGAACTCACTGTGTAACGATGATCAAAACTCGCACAAGTCTGACCCAAGCACTAAACCACTATATTTTGCTGTCTTAGATCATCTTCACACTCATTACCGCCTTCTAGGCTTCGTACAATTAGCCTGGCTCCTATTATTATAGGTATGAATGTTGTATCTCTTCAGTAACATTTCAGTCTAGCCCATTACTAACCTGCGTTGCTGAATGTACATATCCCTTATTTTATTGGTCTCGGAACTCTAAATATAAGTCGATCTTCTTTTTCCGTAACGTTAATATTGTGGCATGCGTGACCGAACGCTTCTCCATACATCTAGATGATTTGTGTGTTTCCTCTTACCCCGAGTGTAACCCCAGGGTAAAAAATAAGAGAGGCCTGATTGACTTTGGCTAGTTAGTCTCGCCTCACTCCCGAACGTTCAAGGTCGCATCGTCCGAGCACGATCTTGCCGACTCATTGAGACCCTCCCGACGACGACTCAGTCTTTCGCCGGCCCTTCCCGAAAAAAGAAATGGTCCGCGCTGTGGCACTGAGCACGGTGAAACGCCATGCTTAATGGCCAGACAGTTTGTTTTGTTTACCCTTGGGTAAGAACATGTTACCACCCCCGTCATTCGCAGAGCACCCTCAGTAGTTTGCAACGATTAGTTCTCCCAGTTGCTTGGTGAAAGAGCCCTAGGTTTTTTTGGTATAATAAATCTAGCTAAATAAATTTGCCAAATTCAATTCAATTGAAATCGCATAAACGACCTCACCTTGATGCCACCGCAGAAGAGTTCCGAGTCCTCGAAGTTGAAAGGCGTATCGTAGTTGAACCTCCACATGGCGTTCCTGGCCGGAGGCTCAATGAGGCGGCCATGGGCGCGGACTCCAGGAAGAAAAGCCACGAACGCGAAGACCACTCCGAACAGTGACAAAACTCCGGACTCTGAGCGGCAGCCCAACTTCGCGTAGTCTGGAGTTAACATCATCGTGGTGCCCTCGTCTCAAAGAGTTTGTACCTTCAGAGGCAACGATGGAGCCAACCCCCTAATGTCTTCCGCGGCACAGAGGTCCCCTGCCCTTCTGGTCGTAGCTGACGTGGGTCCGGAGGTTTTGAGCTTTTTTTGCGCGACTAGTTTCCTCAAACTCTGACCGGTGCCGGGAACCAACGGGTTGTTGTTTTTACGCCTTATCTCGTCTTTTTTTTTTTCTTATTTGCCGAGTCGTGCTGTTTTAACGATTGCATTGCGGAAGTGGTCGAAAGGGTTGTCGGGCCAGTTTTACGAAACGGGATGGTAGGGGCCGCGCACGTGCCGACTTCGATTTGTTGCGTCGACAGTGCGCCGCCCGAGAGCATGTCGCGAAAAAGGTTTGGGAAGCACTGAGACACCACAAAGAAAAAAGCAGCTGAATAGGATGTAGCTTGGCGACGGAAAGAGATGTATGCGATAAACGTTGACCGCTATAGGCCATCAAGGCGTAGCTGTTTCCTCGAAGGTTAGTGGGTCTGTATTCTAAGTTTCCCCCTCAGTCGGTCACTTTTAGAGGGCGCCGTAAATTACGACCTCAGCGTCGAGGCTGATCAATAGCGGTCAAAGATATGGACGCAGGGCTCTGATCAAGCAAGCCTAATGCTGCATTCACACTCATCATACTATATAATTATTATTACTCGGTGTTACAAAGTATATAATTAGATTCCTCGAATTCTCCAGAACAAAATAATTTTGTTCGCTACTTTAAAAGAAACCGTTACTTCTCTAATTCTGTCAGATTTTCGAAATGACAGATTGTTTTGGAGGCTTCAATATTGAGTCTTTTCTACTGTTCGTTATTGGACTAGAGTGACCGAATTAAAAGCTCCTCATATTGCCAATCCATAACTATTGGTAAATCTTCCTGATGTTAGAAACTTGGTTCGGAGATTCCAGGAAATTTGTAGAAAGAAGAGGCCCCAATTACAAATGGGGAGGAAAAAAAAGTAACGGTTCCAAGAAGTTTTAGTTCTTTCAAAAGTAACCATGCTACTCTTGCGATTACTTCCTAATATGTGTAATCAAATGATTGCAACATTATTCCAAAAAGTAGTTCATTACACACCCCGTTAAGTGATAGGCCAAAGTTTTTTTTTAATCGTGTTTAATATGTCGTAGGAGGAAGAAGAAAGTGCCAATAGGCTGTGAAGAGCTCATTAACTAAAAGTCAGTTGTTTGTCAGCAATGTGTTTGTTCATACATTTTCTTTGTTGTGTCGTTGTTCTTTTTTTCGCGTTCAGCCGACCCGATGGCCATTATTGCAAGTAATTTGATTGCTTGCAATGAGTGACGTAAGTCTGCAGTTTTGTATGATGCACTAACAGCCTGACCCGAGGCTTTCAAGAGTATACTATATATCACTGGTTCTTTAATGAGGGTCCGCGGAGGCATTCTAGATGTCCGCGAAGCCCAGCCTATCGGTCAAGCCCGAAAATAAAAGCTGTATTTTTTTCAGATTGAGGTGAAAGGTTGCAATGTTCGGATAAGTTTTCGCGTGGGTATGGAAATGAGAGAAGTCTACTTCACACTAGCCCTGAGTTATATTCATTTGTTTAATCAATACATAAGGTAAGCTATACCTCACCCTTCCCCTCACCGCAAACGGGGTCCTTCATCACCTACGCCTACTCACAAGCAATTGAATGGTTGAGAACCACTGTTGTAAATTATGAGAGTCGACGCGCAGGAATCGCAGTGAAAGGTAGAGCAGCAGCTCTCCGGCACCAGCCCCGAGACGGCAGTTTTTAAAGTCTTTCAGCAGCCACCGCAGGACGCGGATTGGACACGAATGCTGTGTCATCGTTGGAACTCGCGTCCAATCCCTGAAGGGCCAGAGTTGGGCGGGACACTGACGGATTCCTCGTTCCCATTCCCTTTCGCGCCCTGGCGTCGCTGGATGACGGAAATAATGGAGCACAACTCCTTATTTAGAAGGATGTTGCTCAGACGGCCCTCGGCTCAGCGTCTGAGCGGCCCTCGAACTCGAATCAGCGATTATATTTCTGGTTTTGTGACACTTTCGTGCGTTGGAAAGAATAACCACAAATGTCACTTTTTTTCTTCTATGTACGTTAGTATTGCGAAGGATTTCCCTTCTTAAAGTCGTTATATTTAAAAAATCTCCTTCCAAAATCTGAACAGGCGATTGAATTTCCATAAACGTGGAAGGTAATAAATCACAGCCATCGAAGTGCCCTGTTTAAGCATAGAAACAAGCTCATATGTACAGTCGGGGACAAAAGTCCCCAGAACGTGCTAGCTGCGGCTGAAACGCATTGCTCTGTCACCTGCGGGCGAGTCGCCTGTTTTCGAGATCCCACAAAAGCGCATGCGCGTTCTACTCTGCCTGCAAACATGTCTGCTTTCCCGCTCTTCTGCGGCACAGTGCCTAACTCGGAATCAGGCACGTGGTACCGCCTCGGAGATAGCCCTGGCGGCTGACGAGCGTCTGCTATACATTCCGAAACTCGAGATACCGCCTGGGGCATTGCGCCGCATTTCGTCGTGTCAGCGCACCTTGCTTTATAACCAGTTCAGCTTATCGCTCAGTTGAGCTGCAGTGAATTCTTGCTTGATAGGTGCCATGTCAGCAAGAGCCTTCCTACACCGTGCATGTCAGTAAGCGCTATCTCCGAGGCGGTACCAACCCCCGGTCACATTCCAAGTTTCGCGGCGCTGACATTAGCGTCGCCACCATCAGCGGCGCTGTGTATAGCGTCGCCACCGGCAGCAGCGCTTGGGTGTTGGGGGGCTCTCATTAACACACAAATACAAATATAGAACTTTGTTCGCTTACAGTAATTTCAACAAAACGTCTTCACCGCACCATGAAAATAAAATTCAATTTATTTTATATATTTCTTTCTTTTTGTTTTGTTTTCGATCTGAAACCAAAACTCTCAACGCTCTCAACCGACCCGCTGGCCTCGCCGGCGCCCTGGGCCTTGGCTTGGCCTTGGACGGCGCCGCTGCTCCCCTCGCTCTACCCTCGCCCAAATTTGAAACTCCGTAACGGCGGACAGCGGTGTCGCGTGGTTTTGTTTACCCAAGGGTCGTGCGAGCCTGGTTTCGCGCTCCGGCGTTCCGCGCGCCTGTCGAACTCGATGGATATTTTGGTGCGAACTTTCAGAGACTGTTGAGAGGTGCATTTTACGTGGCCTTGTCCCGATGCTGCACGAACAGCGCAAATTCCAAGACGCACAAGTTTTTGTTGGTTCATTTTTTTTTCAAGAAAAGGCAGGTGAGTATATACTCAGTTTTATTTGCTCAGCGAACTTATACCATTAAAATTTTGCTGCCCATAGCTGTTAGTTTTGCAGGCTCCTTCTCGCAGTAAAAACATATGCTTTCCCCCGAACAAGTACAGGTTTAATGTAGTTAATGGTGTACACTTAGCCCGACTTGGATTTGTGCACAACTGCTTATTTAAAGTGTAACAATTGGGTTCAATCTTTGAAAAAGGTCTTTGGCGGTCCTCGAACAGACGGAGAATAATAAAAAGAAAGAATGAGGCTTCCTATATATTAGTTTGAAGTTTCATTTATTTCTGCATAGTTCCGGGTGCGACAACGGCATTATGTCATTACTTTGTTCTCTGTAGATAGACATTTGTTTTGTTTTTAAATCAGTTTAAAATGTTAAATATCATGGCCATATTGTCATTACAGATGCTGGGACATATGGAACGAGCATTTGAACGTTGTCTCAAGGAGGAAGAAAGCTTCGGACACTTCGTGGTTCCCAACCAGTTATTCGCGTCTCCAGCTCGACGCTCGCCCTCCCGCGGCAGAAACGGAAAGCGCTCTAGTGAGGGTCCCCCGATTCTCCTGCTGAGCGGGCATGGCGGAACTGCTCGCGGTCATGGCTTTCGAAATGTCGTTTCCGAATGCAAACAACACTCTTCACTGCCCCAACGTGGTGCTGCAGCCGGTATGGGATTGTATCTTACTGGAGAGTTTTAGTATTGCGCATAAAAGCAAACGCAAGCGGTGGTTGTTTGCGTTGGAGATGCGTGCCCCACGTTGGTGGGCGTGCGCCTCATCGCTATGCGCCATCCAAGACCGCAATTTCGGGCTCCGCGCACGCGCAGTGTGGAACGCGCAAAGCTAACGAAAACACACAGGGCTTGAGTTCGTTCGTATACGCAGTATTAAAACTCACTACTGTTTCACCGGCTTCCAACGCCAACGAAACGTGCTGCAGTGAGCAGTCATGCAAGCAGGTAGGCGTTCCTTCGGACTGGAAAGGCTGAAATTAAGAAAAAGACGGCGCGTAAATACAAAAGTAAATAAATGTTATAAAAAAACTACCATTTTTTTAGACCACCTGAGACTGGGTGGAAGAAACACGACGACGTCTCAAACACAGCTAACCACTTTATTCAGTTCTCCCTCCTTTTATACATCCTGATCCCAAAATCGTCACCATAAAAAACACACTCCAAACAAAGGCACCAAGGGGACACGTCTTGACTTCGCAGCCACAACAGTGTGAAAAGAAGTGACTAATAATTTAAAAAAGTTTTTTTTTTCTTTTTACTTTTGGGCATTTGGTTTGGAAGTATATAGGCGGCGACTTTGGACGTTTCGCCGATTCTCAAAAGTCGTGACTTTGATAGCACAGTTTACTTTACCCACAATTAATGTAATTTTACATCGATTTGTCACATTAGCTAGAATGTTTTCATTGATTTTAGGCTATTTTTATTTTATTTGTAATTAAAATGCAGCAATTGGAACCAGTGATGATAATTAGCACAGTATTCATTGTCATATTTCTTCGCGCGTTTAAAATTAGATCATAAGCAACAAATTATATTAGAGCTTGAAGAATTACTTATTCAAATATGTAAATTTTAATATTATTATTATTATTAATACAAATCGCTGCAATGTATGCCTCTAACGCCAAAATCACGAGAATACTCTATTTAACCAGAATAGTCTTTCCAGAAA